CGTAAGTTTTTCAAAGTTTGCCATTTGTGTATTCCATAGAAATTGGCTTTTATGGACTGATTATAAGTTAAATAGTAAAAGACATTAATGTTAATGTATCCTTTTCCCTTTATACACATTGCTTGAAGTCAAATTTTATGAAAAATGGCTCCATTTCAAACAGACAAGGCACCTTGAAGGAGTTGAGTAGCAAAGCTGAAATTTTGTGTACATATTACTATGATACCTATCTTCGACAGGTTAGAGTTTCAAAAATTATTTCAACTGATCGCGGGGTCATCCGGGGTCACAAACGTCGAGCCATTTAAAGGATTTTTCTGGCTGGGGCCCATTTTGGGACTCTATATTTTCTGATTTAAAGCTTTAATGGGATTGTTATTACTTCTGGATGTAGTCCTGTGACCATAGATTATATTCAAGTAGAATGGAGCCCATGTTACCCCTAGTTTTCATTCAGGGTCACCCCAAAAATTGAAAAAAAACTTAATCGCTCATTCTGGACCCTACTTTAGGCAATCTGAAATCTAAAGATGATACTTTAAATCTGCAGATTCATAAAATTTGGCAAAAAGTAAGTCAGAATACCAACTTTGAGCTCTTTGTCTTGTCCGTAGGCCGAAATATGGCATTCTGAAATCCGAAATTATTCAAAATGTCACTTTTCGCGATTCGCGAGTGCGTAAAATGACTAAGTCCAGCAAATTTCAAACGGCCATATCTCAAAAACGACATGGAGTATGACTTTCAAATTTTGCATGTGTTCATATGAGCAACATATCATCATTCTGACCAAATTTCATTAAAATCTGAGGGGGTCACCTGGGGATTTGTTCTGAAACTGGTTGATTTGACATGGAATCACCCATTTGCTGTATTATGAAAGGACACATTTAACCAATCAATCTGTCAAAATTGACAGGCTGTAAACTTTCTGCATATTAACAAGAAATGTTTAATCAGGTGTTATAATTAATCTTCTATCATTCAATAATTTATGTATTTCAGGTATACTTCAAACCTGGATGACGCGCGTAAGCTAGGGATAAAACGTAACACTGTACAAGCAGCCAGTCTTGGTATTCTATTTTTCTTCATATTCTTGTCATATGCACTAGCTTTCTGGTAAGTTTCCAAATTAATTACTATTTTTTCCCTTTATTTTAACCTAAATTGTACCGTTTTTACTTGACTGTTTTGTGCTGAATTGTTTATGCTCAATTGTTAGAATTTCTTTACTTGAAGAAAAAAAAAATGAAAACATTTATTCATTTCTAGGTATGGAACAAAATTGTTTATTGAAGATGGTTTGGGTGCTGGTGAAATTCTTATTGTAAGTTAACTAAATTTAAGTATATCATTATTTGAACAATTATTGATTAGATTACAGGGTTTGGTTGAACGCTCTAGGAGATAATTCCTACTACACTCATAGTACCTGAAGATTCCATTACTGTAACATGGAAGATTACCTTCTTCCGTGTTATCATGTGTTGAAGACTTGTACTTCAGTCTAGCAGACTCATTGACGTATATGTTCACATTATTGTCTTAAATTTAGGAACTGTTGTTGCAGACAGACTGTAATAAATGTGCTGAGGATAATGATGATAATATATCAATGTTATAGCACAAAATATATTATTTATCTGTTACTTCATGTAAAAGCCTTATAAAAACTTATATATTGTATAAAGCTGAAACAATCCAAGAATGCAATAAACTTGGCTATCACTCAGTTGATATAAAAACTAAACTGTAGAAGGGGCCGTGAGTTTGAATCCAACTAATATCGTTTTCCACACATTATAATTAAACATTTTTTAATTCTTGCATTCCTTAAGACATTCTTTGGTGTACTGTTTGGTGCCTTTTCATTAGGCAGTGCTGCTCCCAATATTGCTGACTTCACTACTGCCCGTGGGGCTGCTGCTACAGTCTTTGACATCATTGATGAGGTAACTATGTTATTCACCGAGATAAACATTCTTTTTTTACGTTCTAAATTTGCATGGGAAACAATGTAGGAATGACTGGTTTGTCTTGTCTTTGCCACATATAAATAAAATATATATATTGCATACAACGTATACAGTACGGATTATATAAATAGTATATGTAGATTTGTTTGTTTGTTTGTTTATTATTTATTGCAATCGTATAATATCAAACCAAACAACAAAAAACAAGTACATAAAAACACACAAAAATGAGAGCAAGAGGATAAACCCTATACGCTCTATGATCTTGTTTCCACAGGGGTCCTCAACCTATAGAAAAAGAAGCAAATAAAGATAAAAAAAAAAACTTATGTTTTTATTAAATGTTTTAGTAATGTAATATTCAAATTAGGTTTGCTGCATAGCACCATAAATACATTATAGGTAAATAATAATTACAGTGCTCGAATAGGAACATAAGCACTGTTATTTATCTATTGGTTAATGAATATGTATACATTTGTATACATGCCCTGTGATAAACAGCTAAATACAATGATTGACTCTTTAAAACATCAATGTCTGTGTAATATCTTTTCATTTTTGAGTAGATTAGTATTTGTCTTGAGGTAAACCAAACAGAAGATTAGAGAAATCTTATATCATAAATCTGATGTGTACTTAGTATGTACCTTGATATAATGTAAGAAAAGAAAGTAAAACCTGTTCTTGAAATCTTATTTTTGTCCCCTTAAAGCAAACAGAGATTGATAGCGGCTCTGAGGAGGGGAAGACACCATCAGAAGTGACAGGAGTAATTACCTTTGAAGATGTCCATTTCTCATATCCATCAAGGCCAGATATTAAGGTTGTGTTTTGATATCTATATCTATACATACAAGTAAAGGTATTTCTTTCGATATCAAAATTGCCATTCTTTAATACAGAGACAACTGTGTAATCTATAGATTGCATTGGATTTCTTCGGTGTGATACGCATCAAAGGGATAACCCACGAAAGTCCAAAGACTTATTTCCAGTGGGGTTCTGGTGGTGAATTTACCAGTACACTCTGGGAGACAACCCCTTACTCTTTACTGAAGAGTGTTCTGTGTTCTTTAACATGCACGTGGACCATTTTGCATACAGGACAAACAATTTAAACGTCTAATTTGAAAGACAGTGTGCTTTTAAAACTTGAATATCAGCACCAAGTTGTCTCCATGCTTTAGCGCACACACAATCATCAATTTAGCTCACTCTTTAATAATTGGAACGCACCAATATCCGTCATTTTCAAGCGTTTTTGACATTCACTGTGTACTTAAAAGGTCCTATTTTGTTTACAAAATTCTTTGCTTGATTACTCTTCTATTTATTATAAAAATTTTTTTTTTTTTTCCAAAACCTAGATTTTGAATGGTCTCAATTTAGAGGTAAATGTCGGGAAAACAGTAGCTCTTGTAGGCCCTAGTGGGTGCGGTAAGAGCACGGCGGTGCAGTTAGTGCAGCGATTTTACGACCCCAGTCAAGGAGCAGTAAGTAGTAAACTATCTATCTACTTGGTCTTATTTATTACCTTTTTTTTATTACACTGTTACTTAAAGATAAGTAAGCTATTGTATATTAATAAAACAACTTTTGTAATTGAAAGTTAATATCAAACAGGACTAGCGTACAAACACTGCAGCTGATTAATGATGATTATATATATATATATTTATATTTTTTTTATATTTTATATTGTTGGTTGTGCAGTTATGGTAGTACAGTAGAACCCCCCTCCATTGTGACACCCCTATTAAGGGGACATCCCTATTAATGGAACAATTTTTTGACTGAAAAACAAGGGAAGTATATCCTTATTCACTACGATCAACTCCTATTCAGGGGAAACCCCTATTAAGGGGACACTTCTTTTGGTTTTAAAGGTGTCCCCATAATAGGGGTTCTGTTGTACCTTTATATATAAATCAATTTTTTTTTTTTTACTGTATGTTTGCATGGAGGAAAACAATTTTTTTTATCACTTTGTTTAAATTGTTGATGAAAAAAATTTCTTTTTTCTTTTATTCTGATGATAATCCAGTTTGAAACAAGAAGAAAGAATAAAGACTCATGTTTGTTTGATTATAAGTTTTTTTTTTTTGGTCTCGTAGGTCTCACCATACAAAATGTTCTATTGTCCCTTTACATATAAATCAATTTTTTGTCAATGTATGTTTGCATTGAGGAATTTTATTTTTATCACTTTAAATTGTTGATGACAAAATATAATATTTTCTGATTCTAATGATATTCCAGTTTGAAACAAGAAGAAAGAGTAAAGACTTTCATGTTTGTATGATTATAATTATATCAGGAAAACCTGACTGAAAAAACAATTTTTTTTTTTTTCCAAGTATTGATAAATATATTAACATATTCGATTCCTTAAAATAAAATTTGTTCTACATTGTTTAGGTAAAGTTAGATGGCACTGACATTAGGGAATTCAACATTAAATGGTTGCGTGAGAAAATCGGAGTTGTTAGTCAAGAGCCTGTGCTGTTTGCTACTTCAATTGCAGAAAATATTCGATATGGTCGTTTAGATGTTACTGCAGAAGAAATTGAAACTGCTGCGATGGAGGCTAATGCACATGAATTTATAGCCTCTCTACCAGATGTAAGCTTTCATGTGTATTTTTTTAATGATAGTTTTAGGTTTTGAAATATATTCACCTTTCTTGTGATAATGTGGCCATTATATCATTATTGATATTATCAAAGAGTATAGAACTGTGAGAGGTCTGACTGTCGGGGTTTCGTTGGAACGCAATCCTATATAAAAAAGTAATGCCACAAAGGGACTTGTCCTTTAAAAAAGGATATTAAAGGCGTTCGTATTGAACGTGTGCTGCTCGTCTATAGAACATATGTTCGAGTTTAGAAACAGCACGCTTTCGATACGAACGCCTTTTACGTCCTTTTGAAGGAAATGCCCCTTCGTGGCAGTATATTTTAACATTCCATTTCCTGCCTTAAAAATATGGGCAGTCGGACTTCTTGCAGTTCTATAGTTTTTGACAATATGTTTCAAATAATGGTTTTCATTATTATTAGGTAGTAGTTATAGTAGTAATTATTATTGCTATATATCTTCTTTTGAACAAATTGTAAGCACAAATATTTATGTCTTAACTTATATTTCAAGTTAATTTAATTTTGATTTATTTATTATATATCATTTTCTCCCATTCAGGGTTACAATACATTAGTTGGAGACAGAGGCGCTCAGTTGTCAGGTGGTCAAAAACAGCGAATAGCGATAGCCCGTGCCTTAGTCCGCAACCCCAAGATTCTCCTGCTTGATGAAGCTACATCAGCCCTGGACACCGAGAGTGAAGGCATCGTACAGGCAGCACTTGAGAAGGTATGCTTTGGTTGTATATAATAGGGGTCCTAAGTTGGGAGAAGCCATTTCCTGGAGATTGGTTAAGTGAGGTTTCATAACACATCTGATTTTGTCTTGCTGTACATGATGATACCCATCGACACTGACTTCATAAGACGATTAATAAGAAAAGAAAAACATGCAGATATAATGAATTTGTAGGAGATGGGAAAGTTTCTGTGAGATTCTTGGTTGTTTGCAGGAGTGCAGGAGGGCGCCCCGATTTCTGGGAAGCTTCCGCACCTTGCGAGGGACTTGGGGCCCCAGTAAATAGTTATCGTCTTGAAATATATGGTTTTTATTTTGATGTTTGAAATTAACGGTTGTTATTTATTTTTAATGTATTATTTTCAAGTCAGAAGTAGATGGATCGCCCTGAAATATTGTGGCCTAGAAATTCTTTGACAATTATTAACTTTCAGGTGCAATCTGGCAGGACTACCATAGTGATAGCCCATCGCCTTTCCACCATACAGAATGCGGATCTCATATGCTCGTTGAAAGATGGCAAGGTTGCTGAGAAGGGCTCTCATGAGGAATTAATGGCCATTGACTCAGGCATATATAGCTCATTGGTTGCTTTATTGTTGAGAAAAAATGAAAAAACAACCGAGGAAGATGAAGTATTGGAAGAAGGTAAAGAAAAACAGATGATGATGGCTAAATTCATTTTTTATCATTTATGTATTGTATGTGATAATTTATTTTTTCCAATGAGTGAAACCTATTTAATGATACCTTACAAGTGCTTTTAGCTTGATACCACTTGGAAATGTCCATTATTTGGGAAGCTATAACCATTCAAGTGTTCCAACCTTTCTGAGGGCCTAACTACAGTAGTGAGGGAAACCTTTTGAATAACTTTGGCCACATTGGTAAAGTATAGAGACAGGTGGAGAAGATGTAGATGGGGGAAAGTAAGAGAAGGAGAACAAAAGACAGCGAAAGCAATAGAGGAGGCATAAAGAAAATTCGACCAATAGAGGGAGAGAGGGATGACGGTGTTGACAAGCAATAGGGAGGGTGATATAATGTGAATCCTTGATTTATCTCATTCTTTTTATTTAACTGCCTAATTTGATTATGCTTATGATTTAGACAGCATTGCAGATGAATCGGAAGAAGGTATGCCAAGCTGACAAATACATTTCATTGTTGTTTATTGTTTACCTGTTGTTACACATTTTGCATGCTGTTTATTGTATTGAAATATATATGGAATGAAATATGAAATAGACCAAACCCTTAGTTACTTCATTAGTACCTGTAAATGCAAAGCTTACTATGCATTATTGCATTGAACAGTGCTCATTTAAATTTGAAATATATCATAATTACATATATTTACTGGTTCCTGATGGCAAAAAGTGTTCTGTTCGGTCGCGATATCCTGGCTGTACCAAAGGTAGGCTTAGGCTTAGCACCCAGTCTAGCTTGAAATTCCCGCTAACATCATGTTGCAATTTGACACAGGATAAGCCAGTGACTTTAACTACCAAGCTATTTCCCACACTTGTGCTACAATGTCCTCGCAAATATACCCCATCAATGCTGCAACTACTCCCATATTTCCCACACTTGTGCTACCAAGTCCTCAAAAATATACCCTGTAAATGCGACACCTCCACATATATAAATATTTAAGAGTGAGCCTCCGGAGGGCAGGGCACCGTTAACCACAGCCTTAACATCGGTGCTGGTGTGAGCCGCTCCTCGCCAGGACCAAGACTTGGATAAGGACTTGCACAGCGTACACATATGACTCGTGTGCATGTTTAGGATGGTTCATTTCAACTGCTGTCACTGGGAAATAATGTGATCATGAAGCTACTATAAGCACCTCTTTACGATGGCTATTTAGAAAAGGACCACACACAAAGCAATTCAGCATTATTCTAGTACATTAGGTAGTTTTCGCCGCACAACCTTAACCTTAACGATAACAAATGATGTCATAATTTATTCATCGTGCGTTGCAGAGTACATTAATTTCAGGATTTTACGTGCTTGATGTACGTTAGTTACAGGTTTTGCGGATGCTTATTTTGATTTGTTTACAAAAGGGGCGGAGCTATCGCATTGCACGTTGGGTATTAACGTTAAAGTTATGGTTAACGTCGTGCGGCGAAAAACTACCTATTTACCAATGTAGCTGGTTATAGTATGACAGACATATGACTGTTATTAAAACATTACAGCACTACTAATTTACTGAAATGCTGTACACAAACTGCCATATGATTCGGTTGATCATTATTAAGGAATCCTGGATAATGATACAAAGTATTAAAATCAATGCACTGAATGCTTTGCTAGGTTTTGGTGGGTTTGGTCTGTTGAATGAATTTAGATAAATGCGCTTCTTGATAGTGTTTTACAATCCATGTTTGAAACCATTGAAGTGTTTTCCCTTGACCTTTATGTAGTAATATTACTGCCAGCATCCCTTCCAAACAGCTTGACCTTTTAATAATAGTTGATTAAAAATACCAACATTAGACAACTATTCAATTATTTCTTAACATTCCAATCAACCTTTGACTTTTTATTTGTACAGTCCTAACTCCAACCCAACCTTTCATTCAATCCTTAATCCTCAATTCAACCTTTGACTTACAAAGAACTTGAGCTTGTGAAATCCAGGTTTGTATTTTGATTTAAATATTTCAATCTATTGTGCCATGAGACTGTCTCATAATAACTGCTAAGATGTGTCCACAGCACTTCACACTAAACCAAATTCTAACATGCTAATTTGAATGTTAGATCACCTACATTTTGTTTTCATTCCCACCTAATAACAGCCTTTAATTGGCTGGAAATAACATACTGTACTTTGATGATCATTAGGAAAGCAGATAGTTAGCGCTATAAATTGAGTCACTCATGCTGGGGCAGGGGAGAATTAGGGCTACAAACGGGATCAGGACCAAAGTATTATAGCAGGTAATCTGGCATATTACTATATGTTATATTTTAAAGACTAAACAAAATTAAAATATAGACAAACTTTTTTTCAGTCCTCCTGCCGGGTAGCTATATCTATATTGTAGTCACCACTCAGGTACATGTCCCCTAAAATTCGGACACATACTGTGTCTGACGGTCGTTGGCCGATGTGATTACTTGGAGAACGCAACGTGACGACACATACAGTACATAACAAATTGTTTTTACTGATGATCCATTGAGACTATCAATGACAATCAGCAGATGGCGTTGTGTCAACAAGCGCTGTCTGAGAGCAGAAATTGATTTTGTCGGCCGGAGGTTGTACAACTGTACAACAAAGTTATTTTCCCAGCTTTACTCTTCTTGAATCCCCACTCCTGTACTTAAATTTTGTTATAAGAATGACTTACATAACACTTTTTAGCAAATAATGGATTATAATGTATATATTTTGTATGCTATGAAAAGAACCAAACTATACAGTCACAAAAGATCTCATTTTTTTATATTTAATTATCTTTTACTCATACCCGTTTCCTGTCCACCCTGCACCTATGTACATAATCATGGCCTTTGAACTGTACAATTAGTCTTCCTAGGCGAAATTAAGATACCACATTAATACCAAATTGTTCTGTACCATGTCATGTGTCTTTGTATTGATCATTGTTCATCGCAGCTTCATCCTGACAGGCACCAATTCCTGCATGTTGTGTCAAATAGGCAATTGTGAATAAGCATTATTTACATTTTATAGTTTGTAGAGTAGAACTAAATTATTTGTGTGTTTGAGTTGCATGGCACCTGTATTTCAGTTTTTTTATCTAACTTACAATAGAAGTAAAGTCATGCAAGGTTGCTCAACAATCACCTATTCAATGATTTAACCATGATTTAACTATCATAAGTACTATCATTGTATATGTTAATAATAATAGTGTATTCATTTGTTCACTGTGTCAATTGTGATTGCTTGCATCAACACATACAGCTCAGTTTTCACGGCAACTCAATTTTTCGATTGTCTATTCATACATTTTTTTTTGTTTGCTGCAAGATTATTCACACCTTAAGGTAAACATTATGCTGTACATATAGCATAAACATTCCTACCATTTTTAAAACTGCTATTTTCAATACAATTCATAACACATGCATAGAAATTAGTTTGTATTTATTTGATAATTTACTCATTACAAAACTACTTTTAAACACAAATCTCAATAATTATATTTTTCTCAAAAATGTTCTTTTTCATGGATTATTTCTTATCAATTGTATTGTATTTTAATTTTCTGTATATTTTGTGTTTGCCAATAGAAAACAACTTTCCAGCTTATCATTTTATTTGTCGATAAAGTTTATTTTGTTTGTGTTATGATTGTCTTGTAAGACTGATCTTAGACACAATTATTGTAATTTTAGACTTAGACAAAGCTGATACAATAAGTGCATTTTCTAACAAATTGGAGTTTCCTTCAATGCTTTGGGTTCTCCTTCTATTTGCATTTTTTTTATCATATATTTAGTCTAACACAAGCCAAAGTTATTGCTTGTTATTTATTTAAAGGAATAAAATTAAAGAACATGGTATTTACTTCAATTTGTTTTCATCTTAATCCACTCAGAGATAGAACTGAATTCTAAAGATGAAGAACTTACACCAATTTTGACAAGGAAAATGTCGCGGAATGCAGGGAATGATTCGTTTGCCGGACGTATAAAGCGTATGGTTTCCACCGTGTCCGACACTAGTGAGCATTTATCAGAAGAGGTGAGTTGCAATCTGGTAAATTACGTAGAATATGTCACATTAGTTCCTAAATAGTTTCATAGTTTTTAGGCAAAGACTGTTTTTTTTACAAATATTAAGAAACTAACAAGGCTTGATTTCAAGCTTTATACTGTTAGTAAGTTACTCATACCTTCCAGTGTTTTTGTTGGTACAACATTAGAAAATGTTATTAATTTCAATTATTCTAATTTAGTATGTGCTTACACAACTTTTAATTTAGCCATCTTTAAATTTTATATCTGTTAATTCAGTATGTCTTTCTTTAATGTTCTGGATCCCAATGTCTATATAATTTTTTTAAATATTTTTTTTCCCCTTTTTATGGTTAAAATATTTTATTCAATGACATTATTTATCAACATATATTGTAATTATTTACAGAAAATTGAGGAGACAGAAGTACTTGAGAAATTCAGCATTGGTAGAATAATGAAACTGAACTCCCCTGAATATCATTGGATCTTCATTGGATGTATTGCAGCTGCTATCAACGGGGCTTCCCAACCAGCTTTTGCTGTCGTCTTTAGTCGCATTTTGGAGGTTAGTGGGAGACAATTGTTCAATTATAGTTGAACATGTTTATCTTGTTTGTAGGTACAATGTGAGAAATTTTCTATTTTAACTTTCGATGTTCATTACATGAACATCACCTTCAGAGTGATGATAGTGTTCAGACTGCGAAATGGCTTATTTGGTAGTAAGTCACTGAGCTGTGGAGCTCAAACAACCACCCATGCCCATCTTCACTTGTTTCTATGGGTACAACACTCTACATACAACGTCTTAACAAATTTGATCTTAAAGCAAGGATCCAGAGGGAAAAAAATTGATATATTGTACAACTGATTTTTTTAAAAACACAAAAAGGGTGTTTGATGAAAAACTTGGGTGGTTACGCCCCTGTTTTCCTCCAGTTTTTAAATATTCAAAAGTTTGTACCTCATTAACCGCTGCAGAGTTTTTCGTCAAACACCATTTTTGTGTCTTAGAAAATCAGTTGAAAACATATTTATTTTATTTTGTTTTATTTAATACCACATTTCAAGAGGGTGACCCATCCAGCAATGCTGATCAGTAGGGGCCCTCATACAATAGAAGAATAAAAACAAGAGTCACATAATTACACAGATTTATAAAAATTTATTTATAAATATTAAAACATATTTTTCCTCCATAGTTTGTCTTTAAGGTCTTGTCCTGGTATTTTAAGATTGTCTTCTGGTTTACTGAACAAATTTCGTTCATGTACATGTAATAATAAAAGGGATTGCTAATTCCAAGATATTAAAACTGTAGTTGACTAAGAGACCTGCTTGACATTTTTTTTTCAGGCATTTTCATTCCCAGAGGATGAGTTGAAAAGAAGATCAAATCTTTACTGTGGATTTTTTGCTTTGATTGGTGTTATTATGTTCGCAGCAAATTTGGTACAGGTAAGATCACAGTCTACGTGGGCATTCGGGCGCTCATTTTGGATTGGATTTGATTTATTCGGTGTGAACACCAAACAACAACACCGAAAGTCTAGAAGAAGACTTATCCAGCGGGGTCCTTCTGGTGGTGATTGGGCAGTACACTGGCAGACAATCCCCTACTCTTTTCCGAAGAGTGTACAGCGTTCTTTAATACGCACATGGGCCATAAATACACACAGAACCAACGGCTTAAACGTCTCATCCGAAGGATGGTGCGGTATTGTAACTTGTATTTCAGCCCTCCAGCTGAAACACAAGGAGAGGCAGCGATGGGAATTGAACCAGGGACCTCCACAGTTCAGTGCACACACAGTGGCTACCACCAGATTAGCCGACTGAGCTAAGCTGCTCTCACAATCTCTCATTTTAACTGCAAAGAAATGATTTTGTTAATAAATTCTTTTAGCAATAGAAACAGAACCCCCCTCCCAATAAATTAATAGATGAATGTAGAACAATTAGAAAAATTACCACAACCACCCACTACAAAAATCTATTTCTTTTTTAAGTCAAGAGAGAACTTACGTATATTTCATGTAGAAAAATAGCTTTTTTGAGCTGACTAAACCTCATTGTTATAGTGTGGGGCAGACTGTATTCTGGGTTTATATTTATTGGGCAGGCCATGTCCCTGGACATTTTTAGGGAGCTTCCAATTGGCTGACAACAATACATTCTGGTGTTTTTTACATTTGATCCAAATCAGACAATAACTCAGTCTTCACATGCTCAGATGAATCTATGTGACATCATGTTCTATTTATTTATCATTATCAATCAGTTCACCTCCCAGTTACAGAGTACATCAGGCCCATTGGGCTCAGATTATTCGAAGATTGTTCATTTTATATAGAAGTAAAGATTTTGAAATACAGATTGTTTTTTTTAATGCCTATGTTGTGATGTTTTTATTTACCAGGGGGCTACTTTTGGCAAGTCTGGGGAGGAGCTTACAAAAAGGGTGCGTTCTATGTCGTTCAAGGCCATGCTTAGACAGGTATGGTAAAGAAAATTATTAATTTCATCAGTGTTTACTTTATGTCACTTGAACCATGTTGTGCACAAATTTACCAATAGAATACCTTATACAGTATTTCACATACAAATATTTTTGCATTCTTTAGAGAAGAGCATGTTTTGTTTAAATGAAGAAAATTAAGTTAATAGACATACTCTATTAAAGATTGTGTTGTAATGCTGAGGATCAGGATGATGATGAAAGAATATGGTATATATGAAAGGTGATAAAATTCAGTAGCCATAATGTAATTCTACTGCATCCCATGGCCGAGGAGATTATTGCAGCTAAAAGTACCTCCTAGTGAGCATGGATCTTAGCACTTGATCCTTTTCAACGGCAAGGAGAGCAATTAATTGCTGTGCTGGATGTTACCACAGCTGCACAGGATGGTGATCGCGCTTCTTAAAACTGATGGTGGCCACCGACTCCATCTGCGACTACATCGGAAATAACTAAAACAAATTCGGATTTTTTAACGTTATATTTGTTCATCGATTCGTAAAATCACTGAATATTGCGATAGTCTCACCTGCACAGTACTAGGCCTACTGAACGTCGACGTCCCAGTACCCAACCGACTATTTTTTTTAGCATCGACCAGGGATTTCCCCTAGTTTACGTACTTCTGTCAGTTCTTGCACACACAGGCAGCGTACAAAGAGACGTTCACTAGCATGCACAATCAGTCGTATTATGATTCATTTTAGAGAGTCGTCTGGACGCGTTTGACGGTGTATCCAATCGGCCATAGTTAAAGGAGAGGAGCAAAGGCCAAAACGGAATATCAGCGATCCAAACAATGTGCTATTCAAACGCGTTTTGGTAGAACAATAGAAAACACGTCTGAGCGCTGATTTGTTGTCTGGGATAATTTGGAGATCGCGCCTTATACTTTTCTTATTGCAGCTAAAAGTACCTCCTAGTGGCGAAATGCCTCTCAATCAATTTTATAAAATTTCATTTTAACTCATTGTTAGGAGATATCATGGTTTGATGACCACAAGAACAGCACCGGCTCACTAACAACAAGACTTGCCAAACAAGCTTCTGACATTCAGGGGGTAAGTCTAAACAAATTTTCCCCTCTCTTCTGAGTGTTCGATTAGAATATCAGTGTACTCAACATCAATTTGTTTTTGTTACTAAGTCATTAAGAGTGTTTACAGGCATATTATGCCTGTATATGTGTATCAACAATGTACTTAAATCATTTATCATATTGTATTTTTAAAATAATTCAGATGCTTTCAAAAAGTTAACCTATTTAGAAATGTCTTTAGGCACTGAATCAAGTAGTTTCCTAAAAAAATAATTGATTAGTAAGAAGAAAAAAGCTGGAAAAAAAAAAAAATACAGTCTCCTTCCAATTGAAGACCTTCATAATTAATGACCGCTTTTCTTTGGTCTCAATTTAACAAATGTCTTTATTATTCTAATTAGAGACCCAAGCTGCTACAGACCATAAAACAGTTGTTTTTAATTGGAGGGCCCGGAGACCTGTATCTAACAATTTATTCTCACGGTGATATATTTGTAAATATTTGTACTTCTAGGCTACTGGAGCCAGACTTGGAACCCTGATTCAGTCATTTTGTAACATCGGCACTGCTATCATCATTGCCTTCATATACGGCTGGCAGCTTACTCTTCTAGTGTTGGCTTTCCTGCCACTCATTGCCGTCGCTGGCGCTATTCAGTGGAAAGTCATCCAAGGAAGTGTTGTGTCCAACAAAGCTGCATATGAGGGTGCTGGCAGGGTAAGACAACAACCTGTACCTCTAGACCTTGGCCATATTTGATGGTATTTTGGCATATTGGTGGACAGTTATATATTATTGATAGACCTTTTTAAATATTGATGATGGCTTTTATTTTTGATAGTCTCTGAGCAATTTGATAGACCGTGGTCATATGGATGAACCCTGGGCATATGGACACTGTACATCCTAACCACCCTTGACAATGGTGGACTTTGTTTATATTGATGGCCCATGTACTTATTGATAGACCCTGGACCTGTTGATATACTCTGGGTATATTGATGTACTCCGGGCATATTGGTTGACCCTGGGCATATTGATATACCCTGAGTATATTGATATACCTTGGGTATAATGATTAACCCTGGGTGTATTGATAGATGCTGGGCATATTGATAACTCAGATTGCAGATCTTGTGTATTTTGTTAAACATCCTGTCTGTGTGGTGGTAAATTAAACTACAGTATTTTGTTGTTGTAGGTGTCCAGCGAGGCTATTGACAACATAAGAACAGTTGCATCCTTAGCGCGTGAGGACACATTCTATGAAAAATATGAGGATTACCTAGAAGAACCCTACAGGTAAGTCACAAGTGCATTACACTAGGTTAATAGTTCATGTAAGTAAAGTTAAAAGAACATTGCAGTAGATAGTTTGTTAAGTTTACTTTTAGTATTGGGTGCTTTAGCTTCATTGTATATATGATGAAGTTAAAACTGCATTGTAATATGTCCATAGTCTATATGTTGTACTGCATTTGTAAGTCCTTTCCTATAAGAAATTGATATGATAAATAAGCAAATGATAAAATATATCTATTTGTTTAGGAAATTTACATGTGTATTTCATCTGGTACATACCCTGTTATTTTTTAAACAAACTCTAGTTGTAGTTCGTGCTAAAACTTCAAAATCACTTAATTTCGTATTCTTAAAGTAAACTTTGATTAGCACTACGACTAAATCACGCGAACCTCAAATAAATGATACCCCCGAAGGCCGATTTTTTTATTCAGTCTAGGATCAGTCTAAATTGCAGACTTCAAATAATTTACCACACTAAAATCATGCTTTTTGTAAGTCACAATAGAGTAAAAAGAATAAAAATTATTGTATAAATAGGTCTGATGTATCTTAAGGTGTGTTTAAGGAAATGGACATTAACTTTAGCTTCTAAAAGCGAAACTAACATGTTTTGTTAGCCACATGCAATAGTTCCTGAAATGCATGAAATCCCTGCTCGTTGCAATCACATATCTTCACCATAACAACAACAAAGATGGCGCCCTCGCTCGTCCTCAACTATAATAGTTTTCCAAAGATAGCCCCCTTCAGCTGAACTACAGGTAGTATTTGATTTAGTCGTAGTTAGAACTAATAGACAATGTTGTTTATAAATACAAATTGAACTTTAAGTTGCAACTATTGACTAGATGAAGTTCTAGTTAGAAGTTTGAGTATATTCGTTTTAAGAATATGGACGATAGTCTGTGAAGTATCATAAATAAATATTCAGTCCTTATAGAGAATTTATAAGTGCGCTGCTTGTGGAACTTAAGCCTTGTAAGCAAGTCAATAGTGGCTTGTAACAGGTAGAAAGTTTTTACTATAAATATATATCTTGTAATCTTGTTGGTTTTTACTTCCAGAGCAAGCGTACAGAAAGGTCTTATGGGTGGCTTTGCCTTTGGATTCAGTCAGTGCATTATATTCTTTGCATATGCAGCAACTTTCCGTCTGGGATCCGATCTGGTAATTAGAGACAAAATGGAATTTGAAAATGTATTTTTGTAAGTTTCAATATCTTTAATTTAATAATGTAAGTAAAATGCAAGGAATAGACCACCCCCACAAAAGGTTGCTAAAATCAATAACTTAAAAACAAATGTTGTACTCAACTATGATCCTATAAAAATATACTGTAAGTTTCAATATCTCTTTAATTTGTAAATGTTACTTAAGTAAAAAAACAAGGAATAGTGTAATCAGAAATTATCACCCTCACAAAAATGTTTTTAAAGTCAATAACTTAATAACTTAAAACAAATGTTTACTACTCAATTATGTAATATAAAAAATATACTGTTTTTACATTTATTTTTAATGCGATTTTGAAGGTTTGCAAAAGAAAGCTAAATAGTGTTATTATTTTTAATATTTTTTGGTATTTTTTGCCATAGAGTGTTCTCTGCCATTGTTTTTGGAGGTTTTGCTCTAGGTCGCACATCTTCACTAGCCCCAGATTACTCCAAGGCTAAGGCTGCCACAGCGCAAATGTTCAAACTCATTGACAAGGTCCCCTACATCGACTCATACAGCACTTCTGGGCAAATATTGGTGAGTTGAAAATACAATTCATTGAAAAGAGGTTAACATAGAGCAAGGTCGTAGGACGAAATAGAATTTTTGATGTGACACTAAGTGTCTGAATCAAACCCACTACCTCCTTGCTCACAAACCTGCTGTCATACCACAAGACCATAGAGAACTGATAATTCAATCTGAATTTAATTTTTCTTTTTCAACAAATAGTATATTTTTGTCAACAGGAAAACTTTAAGCCAGAGATTCATTTCCGCAACGTCAAGTTCAGATATCCTTCAAGGCCTGACGTTAAAGTGCTTAACAACTTATCGGTTGATGTCAGTGAAGGAGAGATGCTGGCGTTAGTTGGAAGCAGTGGTTGCGGTAAGAGCACTACGATTCAGTTGATGGAGCGCTTCTATGACACTGAGGCGGGGGAAGTGGTAAGTTCTTTATTGAAACTCCTATAGATCTTTCATTTTTTTTATTATTTTTCTTTTTAAGCCCTGTCCAGACTATCAAATTTCATTTGACAAAAACATTGTTATATGCCCATATATAGACATGATATGCCTATATATGGTCATGATGTGATGTCATCATGACCATATTTAGGTATGTCACATGTTTTTGTCAAATAAAATTTGATAATCTGGACAGGAATTTAGATGCGACAGTACTCAAATTCCTGATTTGCACAAGACGGAATTTTACACGCAGGGCACATGCTAAATCTGACGTTTGATTTTCTAAGATATTCCTACCAAAATCACCATTGTCTTTACACAAGTGAATACAAACCTTACAAATGATACGATAGTTAAGATGTGTGATGGCATGGTTAAAGATAAGCTCTAACCATTGAGTATGGGCTTAGCTATGCAAGTAATCGAGAATGTTACAGGCCTCTGTGAAGTCTGCTATTTGTATGTGGATAATACACGAGACACAATGCTAATCTTCAGCTCTGTCCCAATTATTAAACTTTCTTTAATATATATAATATAGTCATGATGTGCATTGTATTTTTATAGTGAATATTTTTATATTTTTATTGCTGCATGTCTAAGGACAGTGTATTTCACTGCATCTTTTTGCTGATGACAATATTAAGAAATCTTGTATTTTTATTTATTCATTCTTTATACTGTAGGCACTCTCAATACTATTGCACTGATTTTCAAAGTGGTACAGTTTAAACATAATAAAAATATATACAATATATAGAATTGATTAACAAAAATTAAAAAAAATTCCTTGATTATTGTTCCAAATTGAGCTAACTAGATTGTTATTTGTTTGGCCATGTGTTCTTTTAATATGGGTACTATTGTTGAAGATAAAATTTGATGTCAGATATTGAGGAGTGTATGTAACCTTTTAAACATTTGAAAATCATGATAAGTAATTTTTCATCCCAACTAGCATTGAGTCTTCTCCAGCCAAGAGTACTTAATATATATAGTTAACAGAAGTCTTAATATCTACTGAAAGCAAAATTCTACCTAATCTATTGATAATCACTTGTAAACAACTGGCATTTTGAATACTACAGTTAGACCAAACACAACAATAAAAATCAGAATGAGGAAATGCAAGAGCATGAGCTAACATTTTTAGTGTATGGAATGGAAGAAAATATTTAATGCATCAGATAACACCAATAAGTTTTGAAAAATTTTTATGACACTTTGTGTATATGGTCATTCCAAGTTAACTGTGGATCAAATGTAACCCCAATATATGTGGATAACGTTGTGATGTCATCGTGACCATATTTAGGCATGTCATGTTTTTGTCAAATAAAATGTGATAGTGTGGACAGGGCTTTACACAGGTATGCATTCACACTGATGCATTGTAATAGGGAACGCTTGGAAATTTTCTCTATCATGCATTGTTTAGTACCAGCATACCATTTTATCTACTTTTGATTTGAGTAATTGTTATATGTCTCAAGAACTGCTGTCTTAACTTTATATGAATGTTTATACCTTTTCAGGTTTTTGATAACTTTGAAATCAAGGCGTTAAATGTGAAGTGGCTCCGGTCACAAATCGGACTTGTGTCGCAGGAGCCTGTCCTCTTTGATCTAAGCATTGCCGAGAATATAGCATACGGCGACAATAGTCGACAAGTCAGTATGGAAGAAATTATAGAAGCAGCTAAGGATGCCAATATTCACGACTTTATAACGTCACTTCCAGAGGTAGAGTACAAGTTATTCAAATACTTCTCATTTGTTCCCTGGCTATGTGAGAGCAGCTTTAGCTCAGTTGATTATACTGGTGGTAGCTACTGTGTGTGTGCGCTGAACCATGGATCTTTTTGTCACGGGTTCAATTCCCATCACTGCTCTCCTTGTATTTCAGCCCTCCAATTATGATAGGACATGAAAGACGTTCCATCTGTTGGTCTCGTGTGCACTATGGCCCATGTGCACATTAAAGAACGCAGTAAGTGTTTGGAAGAAAGCTTAGGGATTGTCTTCCAGTGTACTGCCCATTCACCACCAGAAGGACCTGACTGGAAATGAGGGTCTGTTTCTGCTGAGCAAAAACACATGTGTTTTAAACGGTTATTAAAAAAACATGTGTTTTTTTCCCAACAGAAACATGCCAAAAAACAAAAAAATATGATTAAGGATGCATTCTAAAAATGCGTGTTTTAACACGCATACATTATAGGGTTGGGGTTCAGAAAACATGTGTGTTTTGTGGTACATTTTTCAGCTGCAATGCAATACCATGTTAGTCATGACCAGTTGGTGCACCAAAATGACCTTTTCGTTGGTTCGATCCTTTGTTTGCAGGAAATTTGGGGCAAAGAAAAAATGAAACCAACATGATGAAATGCTTTACTTTTAACCATAATTTTTTCATACTTTCGCGGTGTGTTGCTTACTTCTTTCGCAGCATGCGCTGTAGCCCACAGGAAGTAAGGTCAACTTCAACTTCCGTAGGTGATCGTCATTATAAGCTCTGCCCACCTACTGATGCTTGCGTTACCGTGTTTTTATTAGTTGCACTTTTCACTAGAAAGGAATTTAACCGTTTTTAAAAAACTTGTGTTTTTTGGCATTATTCAGCAGACTTCTTCAGACTTTTGGTTTCACCAAATAATCCATCTATGCACGACATACAGCTTTCATGTACCTCAGCACTATGTGCCCTGAACCGTGGAGATCTATGCGATGATCAAGTTCAATGTATTAGTTCCAGCCAAATAATGCTGACTGTTACATATTATTTTAACTGAATAAAATAAATAAATAAATATGTGTACATCTTACCAGATACCCGACTCAAAACTTGTAACCTCTTGATTCGAAGTGTCACATACTTCAAATTTTACAAAATTCTTTTGACTTTAGGGCTATGAAACTAGAGTTGGAGATAAAGGAACTCAGTTGTCAGGTGGTCAGAAACAGCGAGTAGCCATTGCTCGAGCTCTGGTCCGCAATCCCAAGATACTTCTCCTTGATGAAGCCACCTCGGCTCTCGACTCGGAAAGTGAAAAGGTAATTATTTTTCTGGGAATCCTAGTGGTCGTAACTATAATGGTGACCTTTAAGTTTGAACTATGTATCTGGCTTTAAAAGTCTAGCTTAAAAATAAAAAAAACCTATTTTATTTCATTGCGAAAAACTCAATCAAGAAAGACTTTGTTCTGCCATGGGGACAGAATCTTTCTTTTGCAAGTTGTTGTGTAAATATGATGAAAAAATAGGTTAATGTCTTTACACGGCGCATCATACCGACAAGGTGTCTGTGTCTGTGCGTAGTAATCAGTGCATTTGTAGAAGTGGTAGGGCACTGTGGTGGCGGTTCTGCTTCTCAAAATTGAGGCCAGCAGAGGTTCAATCCCTCACTGTGCCTTTCGCTTGTCTCCTTGGGCAAGGCACTTTACTTACGGATGTCTCTTTCCACAAAGCAGTACAAGTGGGCATCTGCTAAATTCCAACACAAACTGCACTGATTACATCTGAAATTCATTTTGTAATTCTCCCAAGGGAGCTAAGTATATGTTCCCTATGTGCTTAATCCAGTGACAGGGGCAATCATGTGAATCGCTAAGAGGCCTAGTTGGCATGAAGCAATATAAGTGTAACATATTATTTGTGTTTGAACCTACCAGACTTTACCTATGTGGAGACAGCTTAGGTTATTTGCCTTGGCCAAGAACATACTTGAAACTGACCACAAAGTTTTGAACCTTTGACCTCAAAGCTGAGAGCCTCAATTGTAACTGTTGTGGCAACTGTTCCCATGGTTTTGATTTCAATTCAATTTCACTCACTACTTAGGTCAACAAGTTCTGATATCCAGCATCATTATAACAAGCAACCAACCATAAAATTTGAAAACAAGTATGTGAACAAAATGAGTGTAAAATCTGCAAAATTGATGTTAAGTGTTGTCATTTCAGGTTGTACAAGATGCCTTGGACAAAGCAAAGGAAGGAAGAACATGCATCGCCATTGCTCATAGATTATCCACGATACAAAACGCAGAGAAAATTGCCGTCATTAAAGCCGGTAGTGTGTCTGAATTGGGCACACATCAAGAACTACTCGCAGAGAATAACTTTTACCATTTTCTGTATACAGCTCAAGACATGCAGCATTGAGCAAGTACTCCAGGAGTAACTTTTTATAAATTGTAATGGTACACCTTTGTGTAATGCAACTGATTTACTGTGTATTCAAATATGTGGCATACTTCTTGTATATGGCATATATGGTATATAATTACAATATATAATAATAATGTTACACTTTTGTAGTGCACAATGCACAAAATTATATTGAATATTCATTATAGTTTTTGTGTGGTTGCAAACAATTTCTAACTTATACACAAATTCAAACTGAGAGACATAAATGTAGTATCACAATGTTTAAATTTGATTACAGATTACCAGCATTAGTACTGCCTCAAATTGAAATAACCATGTGACTATGCAGAAATGCAAATTTACATTCAAAAACATTATAATTGTGCAAGGCATATAAATAGTATGTCTCAAGTTGGTGTTTTGTAAACATTAATTTTTGCTTTTTTTAAATTTTTTTTTTTACCTAATTTAATAACTAATAGAGTGTTCTTAGAATAGTATACATTACTGGCTAATAAATACCAGCATTAGTACTGCCTCAAATTGAATTAACCATGTGACTATGCAGAAATGCATATTTACATCCAAAAACATTATAATTGTGCAAGGCATATAAATAGTATGTCTCAAGTTGGTGTTTTGTAAACATTAATTTTTGCTTTTTTTTAATTTTTTTTTTTACCTAATTTAATAACTAATAGAGTGTTCTTAGAATAGTATACATTACTGGCTAATAAATACCAGCATTAGTACTGCCTCAAATTGAATTAACCATGTGACTATGCAGAAATGCATATTTACATCCAAAAACATTATAATTGTGCAAGGCATATAAATAGTATGTCTCAAGTTGGTGTTTTGTAAACATTTTTGCCTTTTTTTTTTTTGCCTAATTTAATAACTAATAGAGTGTTCTTAGAATAGTATACATTACTGGCTAATAATACTTATACTACATTAGCCAATAAATACATATCGTATATGCACTCGTATAAGACGAATGCGAGCAAATTACGATCAAATTGATGAACATTTCAAACCTCATAAAATGGTATTATTTAGAAGATTAACCCTGCATTTGGCCCCGTTTTTAGCCAGCTAGATGCAGTATCAAGACCTAAAAAAGCAGCTAGAAGTATGAATTCTGACGGTGAAATGAGGGTTGCCTTATAATAGTTTTAAAATCTTATACGCGAGTATATATGGTATTTTTGCATAGGCCATAAAATTGGCTGGTTGTGAATATAGGGGGTTTTAAAAGTAAAAACATTGACCAGATGTTAACTTATTTATTCTTTTACCTAAGTAATTCAGTGTTTAATATTTTTCCAAATATCTTTTAAAAGTTTTATCAAATATATTAGAAGTGTAAGTAACCAAAGGCATAATAAATTTGTATCAGATTTTATACAATGTATTGAGCTGGACTGGAAGAATGTCTATTTTCTCAGGGACTGGATGAGTCATGTTTTGATAGTGAACTCCCACCGTATTTTGTTTCTGCACACAATGTGTCAGCAAAAAATCTGTCTTCGCTCTTTCTGAGCGCTTGACGATTTGGCATTATCTGCTGATTGTTTGGCGGAACAATCGTCATTAAACATGGTCTGGTACGTACTCCAAGGAAACGTTTCAACCCAGCTTTTGAGCGTCTGCAAAAGAGTTGCTGTGCCTCAGTGCTGGGCCAGCTTGTATATTTAATTTCTGCTGCTGGTTCTAGGTCTGGTATTTTAACATATATATATTTATATACATATATGGTATTTATATACAGTAATTTAAAGATAGATTATATTGTTATACAATGGTAGTTTGTGGATGTGTGTGTGTATGTATGTATGTGAAATAATGATCCTAACAAAAATTCTATTATTGTAAATTGTATTTCAATGTTATTGCATACATGAGCGTATCCAGGATGTTTCTGCTTGGACTTATAGTCCAGAATGGAGTTTGGGAGTGTTGTTCACATAATTGTTAGGACCCACAGGACTACATTTCCTGGAAGGTCCATTCTTGTAGCCTTTAATGTGCAGTACAGTGTAGACAGTACATTCCATTTCCATGCTAAAACACTAATTTACAAAATGATATTTAAAAAGTAGTGTCATTTGGGATTTTTTTGTTTGTTATAGAGATTATTCTAGGCTTCCTGGCCAATCATCACCCACCTCATGCATTCTGGTTAGTACAAAATTGTTCATTATGTATCAAATTTATTAACCAAAATATGAAAAATGTATCAATTATTTAAAGTTCCTCCTTGGTAAAAGAAATATGTTTGTTTCCAAGAAATATTTAGCCAGTCCTAAATTTTCGGCCAGTCAATCTTGAGGAACACTTTTTTTGCCATAATTACTGTTATAACATCTAAAGAAACAAATTAAATAGACTACACATTAAATTAGTTATAGTTTAATTTAGGTAGTTCGATGGTCTGCATAATTATACTGTAAGTATATTGGAGCTAAGTAAACACAAAAGTTGAATACGGGAGTTATGTAGCGCCCTCAATTGTTGGCGGACAGATTTTGTGGCAACTAACTATGGACCAACGAGATTATAGGAAACTTCAAATAAGATGTTATAGAACTGAACATACCAATCGTTACACACACACTGCTAAAAACAAAACAATGAATAAATATCAAATATAATTTGTATATCAATCATCAAGATATGGTAGTGGTTTTGTAATTTATGCTTCGTTTGATAATAATATTAAAGATAATTTTATGGAAGTCAAAAATGAGTTTATGATTTTTACATTGCAAGAAAAAAAAAACAGGTACAAATATAATAGTCTAAGCTATCGCATTATTGTTTTAGAGGTTTTATATAATATTATGTTGCTTTTGATGGTATGTGTACATACTAATGTAATTAAATAATATAAAGTGTATTTGTATTATTTATTGTTAGTTGTTGGAGGAAAAACAAATTTAACAGATTGCAGAAGTGTAGATTATATATTTGATATTTTGTTACCTATAGGGTTTTGTATGCTCTGTTGTTTTTGTTAATAAATATATTAGGAGATACAACGAATTGACTATTTTAATTCATTTAATTATATAGTGATATATATATATATATATAATTATATGTATATATATATATATAATTATGACAACAAGGCATGTAGACTGTAGAACACTGTATTTATTTTCGAAAGAAATTTTCGGCCAGTCCTTTGGCCGTCATCAGCTTTACTGAAGTAACAGTTTAGACATTGAAATTGAATATGTATCGTGAGTATATATTATTATTATTACACTTTACTGCTCGTGTATTTCTGCTTCAAGAATTTTAATGAAGTTATCTTCATCTTCCCCTAGCATTGTTCAGCAACTACAATCAATAGAGGTGGGGGGGGGGGCTGCCAAATTATTTCTCGTTTATAAATTTACCCAGCAAACACACAGCGTTAATATAACATGCCACGAACGTGAACGTTGCATCCACTTCAGCAACAGCATTTAGTATGAAATTAAGTTATAAAATAAATACGTATTTGTGGTTTTTGAAAACTAACCTGTTTTAACACAAAAATGTAATTCCCCAATTACAGTAAAATCAAGTTTGAAAATTATGTTATAACTTTGTTTTATTGGATCGAATGTGTACTGTAGTGTTGACATTATTATTTTCTTAGTATTGTATAGGCCTATTTATCTTTCAGATTTTAATTGGAAATTAGAATTAGTAACGATTTTATCCTCGCAGCTTAACGGACTCGCATACCACACACTGTTTCTATGGCTTTTTCTCAGTCCCCTTCCCCCATCTAAATATTTACAACGAAATTTACAGACAGAAAAAACATATTACTATTAAAAAAAAAAAAAAAAACAGGAATGACGCAGAGTTTAATCAATCAATCAATCAATCAATCAATCAATCAATGGACTTATAAGGCGATTAATACAGCTGTCTGCGCCATCAATGTGCCTGCTTCAGTTAAAAGTCAGTTCATATAAAAAACGAATCCGTGTTTCTATTAAACAATCTACAGGCCTAATTACTTTTGTTGTTTATTATGCTCTATGGTTTGTGCTCTAGTTACAGCCCAGTCAGTGTCAACCTGATTTTACTTTTTATTATATCGACTAATAGCCTATATGCTGGCATTTTATTACGTTTACTGTTGGTGTAAAACCATGTATTGTAGCCTGCTTTTTCCTGCTCCATGAACAAGTTTAAACACTGAAATTAATAAATATTATGTACCGTATATATCGTTAGTATACATTTTAGTGTTGGCCTACAATGTGTACTTAAGAAAATTGTCTTCATCTTCCTATCAGCAAATACCATCACTGTGGTCAGTGACTGATATTTTACCTCTAAATTACGCTGAGAACATTTCTATAAATGCAATACAGCCTGTACTTCCGCGTGTTCGAGATGGTGATTTTAGAAGAATGATATTTTATGAACAAATATTTAAATTCATACTTTCTAATTTAACTTCAATATTTACAAAGATATTTCTTTCATGGAAGGGGGCCCCTCTTACATAGATAGATAGATTCTATCCTAGCATCATTTCTACTTATGGATACTAATTCGCTTATCCTTCACCCTGTATTTCGAATTCGTCACATAAGCGCTCAGAGAATTATAAAGGAAATAAATTCATGAGGAGTAACTAGTTAAATCATACATTGTTTTCATCACTAAAAATGACTATGGCACCACTAAGAATACACGAACGACGACGAGCTATTGTTTGAGTTCATATGCTGATATCGTTCGGGATGTTGTCCGGATGAAAACGAACGTAAGGAAAGGACCGTGAATAGTTCCGTTTTTCGATCTGTCTTCCAATTTCAGCAAGCCTCTCCCTAAAGCTGAAATATAAATAAAATGTTTTAATATTAACATCACTTAAAACGTAAGTACTGTAGTACGTCTTCCTATTTCGATACAGGCAATGAAATTGTAGCTTGGTGTGCTTTTTTAGTCGATATTAGGTCTAATATGTATTTTAGTGACACTGATAGATAAAGGATTTTCGTATCTCATCCAGATCTGCAACTAAAACAAGATTGGCCAATGCCTTAGCTCCGTCTTATCTCCGAGACCTTATTTCTATTCATCAGCCTAGTCGTTGTCTTTAAATATTTTGATATTGTGTTCTTACATTATTTCACTCTTTCGAACTTCAAACGATCTTATTTATTTACACTATTTTTGGTGATCAAAGAAGACGTCCGTTGCAATCTTTTTACTGTA